GCTGAATATGTTTTATAGTTCTTCCAAGGCCTTGGACACCGTTTTATTATATCGGATAAGCATTGCAATTTCTTGTCAATCAATACATCTAAAGAAAACTTTATCATAATCTCATACTGCGGCAATTGTAGTTCTGCTTACGGTTGCCTCTTTATGATACGGGCCACCACCACCTCCACTGCGCTGGAGCTCTGGCGTTCTACCCCTCCCCGCTACGGACCGGCCCTCGGGCTAGGTGTGTTAGTACTGAGCGCAAACCTGTAGTAGTCACGTGGCTTTCATTCACGTAGCGGGAACGGAAGCTATAGGCGATACCAAGGACGGGCTCTGGGGAGGCAACCGGAGCGGAAAAATAGCACGATAGTAGTTTTGGAAGAATATCTGTTGTGGTAAGAGGAATTATACAAAACATACGTCCTAGGAGCAAACATGTGTTATTCCTCCATACTAGGGTGGCCCTCTGTATGGGGGTGAAATTTCAAACGAATAATGTCTATGCTCCAAACCCGGATTCTTGTTCCTTTTGACCCAGAAACGTGCTGTGCAAAGTTTCATTGAAATCGGAATATATTTAACCGGTGCTCAACGACTCTGAAATTTTACTCAGCGAACGCTAGTCACAAGCACTCCGGGTCCCACTCCCACGTTGCTCTCGTGGGAGTATTAGCCGCTTTCCTCTCCTGGCGGGGGTTATGTGGTTGCTACTTGCTAGCCACTCATTGTCGCCCGGTCCGTGCAAGCGTTCCCTTCCTGGTGTCCGGGAACTGGCGCCGATGGTCCGCGACGACCTGGACGAGGAACTGGAGTTGTTCTTCGTCCTTCGTCAGGAGCCGGTTATACTCCTGAATCAGGGCGACACCTCGTTCCGCGTGGTCATTGGTGACCGACAGCTTCTCCAGCGCTTTGCACGCCTTGCCGTACGCCTCATCCTTCTTCCAGTCTGCCGGTTCCAACGCCAGGAATCCCTTGTCGATGGACATCTTGGAGAAGAACGAGGACGTATTGGAGGTCACGAAGTCCTCAAGCCTGCTGCCGCTGATCGCTGAAGCGGGAATGGTCACTCGCTCCTGGGCTGTGTCGTTGCCGTCCTTCTCCTCAATCGCCGCTACCATCTTCTTCTTTGTTTCTGATGAAACCCGGTCGTCGAAGAACGCCAGGGCTACCAGCTCTTCCGAGAGGTACCAGAGGTGGCCGAGGAGCTTCTTTGTCGCGGCCTTGGAGACCTCCGCGTCCTCGTACCCGTCCAGTGCTGAAGCAGCTGAAGATCGTTGAGCGGAGCCGCGACAGCAAGTGGGGCTTGCGTCCAGGCTTTGCTGTAGAGGCGGGCGGAGAACATGGCCACCCTCAACAGTCCGCGCTCCTCCTTCGGCGTCAGTTTGACCTGTCCCCTGAACAGCCACACCTTGAACGAGTACAGCACCTTGCTCATCCACCTAGCGTGGTGCATGGGGCCAGGGGCACGGAAGCGTATTCCGCGGGGAGGTACGCCGCCGAGAAAGATGACGGTAAGTTCCAGAAGTTCCCGGTAGTCGTCCCGAAGGTCTGTCCGCTCTTTCAGGGCCTGAAGGAACCACTCGATGTCGACCTCTCCTGCTCCATCCTCGATCGGCTGGAACTCGCCTTGGTTGATGAAGGGCCACCTCTCCTGGAAACGCTTGAACAGCAGGACAGCAGGCCCTGTAGTTGGCCCCATCACCGACGTGAAGACCTCCTCGATCACGAGCTCGAGAATGTGGTGCCGGCAGGCGAGGTAGAGGAGGTCGTTCTTCAGCTGCTGCTCAATCAGGGTACACGCCCCGTTGTGGCGACCCGTGTTGGCGGCGGTGGTGTCAAAGGACATCCCCACGACCCGGTCAGCGACGCTCCACTTATCCAACGCCTCCACGACGGCCTTCGCTTCATTCGCCCCTCTTCCACTGGGAAGCTTCGCCACCTGAAGCAGCTGAACCTCCCCCCCCCAGACACGAGGATGGGCAGGCGGTCGACGTGGACGTTGCTGGTGAGATCCGGCATCAGCTTCCCGTCCCAGTGGACTACCAAGGGTAAAGCCCCTGTATCGTTGAACGTGAAAATGATCTTAAATAGTAAAATTTTAAGGTCGTTGAGCACCGGTTAAATATTATTCGATTTAGAAAAAAAAAATACTCGCGTGGTTTTCTCATGGAGTGGAACAAGAATCCGGGTTTGGAGACTGGATTTTCAAACTTTCGAAAATAAGGGCCACCCTACTCCATACTTTGCACTACATTTCCTTTCTCCAATGGCCAGCACTTGGCAAATAATAGCGCAATTCTAAATTGGTAATATATGTGTACAGTAGCAACTGCGGGTCCCTGTACCTACCATGATTTGTGCAGGAGCCAGGAACATTTGAAAGGTAATCTTTATCGCTTAAGTTATGGTAGGACAGGCATGAATGATAGCTTGTATGGCTGAGTTCTCTAAGATAGTGTAATTAATTAAGCTTTCTCACTGGCGAGCCTAAGAACCTCAGAGGATATCAGTCAAAAAAAAAAAAAAAACATTGCTGCTCCATGAAATGATAAAAGAAGAGGTGGTATTCGGTTGAGGCAGTCACTTCGTTCCTTAAACGAACCGATGGACGCTACAAATGATCACAGTCACTTCCTTTTGCCGTCCTGTAGACGAGCCCCAGGGGGACGGGTCACAGAGCCTCCCATACGTTCACTCCGGGGATGGATTTTCTAGCGAAGCTCCTCAACATCAAAACAAAGGAGACTCAAGGCATCCATCTACCTTTGTTAGAGAAGAATGCGAAGCGCATCATCGAGATCATCATTCGGTGCCCCTCCTCGGAAGCTCCCTGTGCTGCTGCAGGGATGGCCGGGGAAGATGGGGAGGCGGAGCCGGGGATACTCCGAGTCCAGGGCCGGGGGGCCGGGATGCATCCGCGGCACAGGTCAGAAGTGGGTCATTAGGCGGCCGCTGTTGATGGCGGGAGAGGCCCCACCGGGACAAACAGCCCAGTCAAATGACCCACGCGTCCGCCTCTGGCACTGTAGGGCCGGACAAATATTAGGGCTGCTCACTGACACACACCGAGAACCGCATATTGTGGTGGCGCGCCGCTGCGCCGCCGCACTGGCTGGGGCTGTGACCACAGCGGAATGTGCGGGCGACACGGAAAACTAGTGCATAAGAGCGAATGCTGAATTACTGAGACTTGAAGTTGTAACGGGACCATACATATTGTTTGTATAAAAAGAGTGCTCGACTTCATTGGTCCCCTTGTGGTCCCCTGCAAGTTGATGCAATATTTGTGCTTACCCATCCGTTGCCTTCAAGAACCAATCGTAAAACTCAACTTTCAAATGTCAAATTTCCACCTTTGACTATTTTGAATCACCGAAACATTTCTTTTTAATCAACAGTTGATGAACTAAAGCCTAAGGTAAGTTGACATAAGTTGAAACTGGTCGCTTATGCCAAAAGTCGTCCGGCCCGACGCCATTCATGCTATTCCGTAATACAAATAAATTACAGTAGACACATGGAAAGCTTCGACAAAGAACAGATCTGATATGTAAGTGATGGAACCGGAAATAGGTACCTTTTGTTTTATCTTTCCATTCATTCCTATGTAATTGTATCGCTGGCATCCTTGCACAAATGAGTTTATAGGTACAAAGCTGCGCATCCAGTCCTGACAGGGCTGAGGAGAACAAGAGTCGTGATGTGGAGTGCAGTTCCCATGGCAACATCAGCTCAGATGGCGCCGGCTTATTGACGAGCTCAAATCCAGGTATAATGTAATGTTTCCCATATCGAGATACCACTGATCTACTGAGGTGCAGGATACGTACGTCTATTTTTACACAAATAAGTCGGGTGATACGGATTGTTCTCCTGTACCTTTATTGTTAGGACCAGTTTCTCATGTGCCTTTGTCCGAAAGCAGCAACGCGGTTACGCGTATGGAACTGTAGATCAAAAAGCATCTATTTCGATCTATTTGATCACTCCTTGCTGTTTACTAAAGGAAGGTAACAGCTGGATCGAACGAATGAGCCACCAGGCCAGATGAAAACAAAAACTAATTTCGAAGTTCGCCTCATCGATCCGAAGATTGATTGCCGGCACCAAAAGCACCGGTCGGAGCTCTCCGACGGCGAAACCCCGTCTCTCTCCTCGGAACAGATAGATTGCCGGCTCAGCAGCTGGCGAGCGGCCGCTGCTGCGGCGTCCCATGGATAGATACCCAGCGGGATGAACTCAAAGCCCATGGTGTCCGTCCGAACGGCGTTCTTAGAAGTTTGGACTTAAAAAATAATTACGCAGTACTTTCATAAGAAGGATGTTGACCATTCATATGTAAATTATAGATCCAATTTTATTGTTAACTGCCAGCACTGAATCATTTCAGTCATCTTGGCCATTGGTAATTTAAATTGACTGTTCCGTGTTTTGTCTTTGGCCTGTTCGTTATCACAATATCTCATCTGACTCTGGTGCCCATGGCTATAGGCCCCCTTCCCCGTCTGTCCATGTCCTGTTCGCCATCCATCTACAACGGAGTTGGCAGGGGTAGGGGTAAGTCGACTGTCTACTCCGTTGGACCGGTAACTCGACTGTCTACTCCGTTGGCTCAGTAATTGGATACCCATTCCACTGCTTGCCATCTCATTGCTACATCTGCCCGTTCGCCGCCATCTCTGCCCACTTACTCGCCACCCTTAGCTCCAACTCCTCTGTTTTCCCAAGAAGTTCGTGTCAGGACACCGGTATGGAGCTGTCTATTGCCTGTTGCTGTCTTCGCCTGTTTAGTCGCCTTTCCAAATCTTACTCTGACTGTCGTCTTCTCAGTGAGAAGTTTGTGTTGGGACACCGGCCGGGAACTGTCTACCCTTCTCACTCTAACTCCGAAGCGTGTTCTCTAACTCTCTAACTCTGAACTGTGTTTCCAGGGAGTTTGTGTCAGCACACCGGTATGGCACCACCTAGTGTCGACCCTTCTAACTCTGACTCTGTCGTATTCCCAGGGAGTTCGTGTCAGCACACCGGTATGGCGGGTGGCCGACAGAAGCAGAGCTGGACCGGCCGGCGCCGATCCCCTCCCGACTGCCGACCCCCACCTCCTCCCACCCGGGTCGAGTTCGAGCTGAGCGACGCCCTGCCGACGGCCGTCTTCGACGGACCGTCGGGCGCCCTCAACGGTCCGCCCGCCGTCCAGGTGCCCATCCTTGGTAAGATTGGTGGTGGAGAGGGAGGAAGGGAGGGAGAGGGAGAGGGAGTGGGAAAGAGAGAGAGAGAGAGAGAGAGAGAGAGAGAGGGAGAGAGAGGGAGAGGGAGATGGAGGAGAGGGAACGAGAGCAGAGGAGAAGAGGGGAAAGAGCGAGTGAGAGAGAGAGAGAGAGAGGAGAGGAGAGGAGAGGAGAGGAGAGGAGAGGAGAGGAGAGGAGAGGAGAGGAGAGGAAAGAGCGAGAGCGTGAGCGAGAGAGCGAGAGAGCGAGAGCGTGAGCGAGAGAGCGAGAGCGTGAGCGAGAGAGCGAGAGAGCGAGAGAGCGAGAGCGTGAGCGAGAGAGCGAGAGAGCGAGAGAGAGAGAGAGAGAGAGAGAGAGAGAGAGAGAGGGAGAGAGGGAGAGGGAGAGGGAGAGGGAGAGGGAGAGAGAGAGACCCATATGCAATTGCATATTAACTGCTGGGCTGCGACCACGGCCGAGATGTATGTACATTGTACATATGCGACATTGCGACATGTCAGGGAATTGATTCCGGCCGGGGTAGCAGGCGACCAAATCTAATGTGTGCAGAAAATGGCGGGAGCTGAGGCTTACCCTGCGAGATGCGGTTAAACAGCATCAGAGCTAAGAAAGAGTGGACGATTCCTCTTCATTGCGCATGTGCCTTTCAAAATGGGTTCGGAAACGGATAAAGTCACCATGCAGTATGCGCATATATGAATGCACCATGAGATATAACTGATGCATGTGACGTTTCATACCGTGTGTATTATGCTACTTGGGTTAGTGTTACCCGGTATTCCCGGACCTCATTTGCCTGCCATATTCAGCGGCTGCTCTCAGTTGACCCAGCTGGGCCGACGTCGCTCGCTGGTGACCCGGCGACGCTGGCTGACGGGTTATTGCCGCCCACTGTGTGCCGTGGCAGCTCAGTCGGGTCACGCGCCGGCCGACTCCGCTGGTCATTAGCTGGAGGCTCATGGTCTGATTACTAATTCGACCCCGAGCCTCAGCCGACGGGTCTCAGTTTTAATTGGAATGCTGATAGGTGTACACGGCTCTCCAACTTGAGTCACTCCCGAAACTCTTTTAGAGTGCAAATGACAACGAAGTTGCTGATATCTTAAACAGTTAAGTTCTTTTCAACTGCTGGAAGCTGTTTAGACAGTGCATTCTAATTTCTAAGTGCCTATTACTTGCATATTAACCCGCGCCCGGCTGGGGGTCCTGGATTTCCACGCCCTGCTGGGGGGGGGGGGGGTGTCTGAACACCCCCTTCTAACTCGGCTCCTGGGCCACGTAGCGATACGCGGAAGGCGGCGTTCGAAAGAGTTCGAAAAATAATGACGAAATCACTTCGGTCAATTTTTTGGTCAGGTCAAAGGTCAGGTCAACAGAGGTCATTAAAGGCAAAATTTCGCCGATTTCCAGGTCGAATGTCGACAATTTCCAAGAAGCCAACGCATAACTCGGGAACCAATAGAGCTACAGCGCCGCGGAAAAGCGCATTCGATAGCCCTATTAACTAGAGGTCTGCACCGGCCGGCTGCAGCCGCGGCTGGCCGCAGCCCCACGGCTGTGGGCCGGGGCGGCTGCAAATATCTCCAAGAACACGGCTACGGCTGTGGCCGCGGCTCTGAGATTTCAAGCTCAATCTTAAGTACTCAAATTTAAAATTTTAAATCCCTAATCTTACATTCTGATAAGCAGTCCAGCCTGTAAAAATCATGCAAAGGATGCCCAGCAACATTGAAAGTGGTGAAGCCTTTGAAAACCTGTAATGGTTTTACCATTTGCTGTAGGGGAGTTTGCACTCTGGTACAGAATACTAATCATAGGTACCAACTAGGGTTACCCGCGTGCTCCGCAACGCGAAGGGGGGATTTTTTGACCCGTGGGTATTGGGTTGGTCTGTGTTGATTTGGTTGGTAGATATCCATTTCGTTCGATTGCTTTTTGACGGCCAAGCATTTTGTAAGAAAACAAAAAGATACATCGCATCGAGGTGCCCGTGTCGTATTATCATGCGTTCTACTTTAGAATGATTCGAAAACTGGCGTGAAGTCTTTTGAGGGCCATCGATGAATTTCGCTAAAAATGACAATGTAATGGTTTGGAACATTTACATTTTTAAGGATACTGTTGCTAATCATGCAAAAATGAAGAGTGAATATTGGACAGAATTGAATGCTCTATCCAATGGTACCATATTCAATTGCCAAAGGTATCAGGTTATGCAGCAAACCCCGTGTGATTAATAAAGTGGCACAAAATTGACAAACACCATTTTCTCCTGTGATTTGCACCACCTTGATTTGGATCAATCAGCTTTTCACAATTTTTATATGAGAGGCGGTACCTTTCTCTTGTAAATAGGCGTTGTTCCAACTCGCTCCGTTTAACGGTCACCTAAAAATAAAATCAATTCCAAAACCCCTCAAAAACCGCAATTTTTCAAATAAAAGTGCCCTCTCCGGTGCACGTGGCGCGTGCTATCCTCTGCATTGCACACCATTCAATAGCCCGTTCAATTCTGTACACGATGCTGTTTTCCCCGTGCCGGTCGGACCCCTGGTCACCAAGATATTGCACGGGAACTGGACCCGTGTCGGCCAAAATTAGCCGTTTTCGCCCGATTTCGCACGCCGATTTATACATGTAAAGTCTATGACGCGAATTTCCACTTTTTGAGCACGCGCCACGCGCTCCCTATCAATCCGATCGAGCTGAGACCCCTCAAAGGCACGTCGCGCATCCTTGGTCTATAAGTTGTGCAAGTTTCACCGCGCTAGGTGCAACGGTCTGGCCTGTAGTCCACGCAAAGCACGACCAAGTCGGGACCTCGGTAACGGACAGACGCACCCTCCTCAAATAGTAATATAGATTGTTCCTTCATCATTAAGAGCTTGACAGTTTCACAAAATGCAACATGTTGCATTGTCACATCCCTCTCAAATCAATCTCACCTGGTCATTAGGAGAGCACCTTACAGCTATTGAAGACGAGCGTTCAGTAATTCTTTCAGGTAATAGAAAAAGAAATCACACCTAGGTAAAGGCAGGTAAAGGCTTCATAAAACATTATCTATATTATAAATCCTAAAAAGTACCCCGCCGTGTGCGACGTAGTCACTTTGTAGCGCTTATTGCGGCGGCGTCTGTTGACCTACGGCCGTGAAATTTTACAGCGATGTGGGCCACCTTTACACGTAGGTCGTATTAAATTTTGGACATGATGCGGCCGAGGGTGCGCCCGCGGCGCGTGCTCGCGTGCCCATAGGGTTAACATTAGAATTGGCAAAAACACGCTATTGCTCGGGAACGGTGAGGGCTACGGGGGTGAAATTTTCACTGCAAGTCGGACGCGTGCACTCATTTGTCGTGTCAACTTTTCGAGCGGGTGCGTTCAGCGGTGTGCACGTGGTGGGGCCGCGACCGGCGCCGAGCAGAAGGCACGTGCTTTAGGCTCAGTTGTTCGCTTAGAAAACTGAGTGAAAAGCATCAGAGCCAACGAAGGCCGACACAAGGCACCGCTCGCCAAGGGGATTCGCCAGTAAATACAATTAATTTGTTTTTGCAATATCTCAGCCGTTTCTGGGCCGATTTAGCTGAAACTTGGACTGTCGGTGGAAGTGTAGTGTAGGGTAGGGTAGGGTAGGGTAGGGTAGGGGATTGTAGGGTAGGGTTGGGTAGGGGATTGTAGGGTAGGGTAGGGGATTGTAGGGTGGGGTAGGGTAGGGTAGGGTAGGGGATTGTAGGGTAGGGTTGGGTAGGGGATTGTAGGGTAGGGTAGGGTAGTGTAGGGTAGGGTAGGGTAGAGTTAAGTAGGGTACAGTTAGGGTAGGGTAGGGTAGGGTAGGGTAGGGTAGGGTAAGGGTAGGGTAGTGTAAGGGTAGGGTATGGTAGGGTAGGGTAGGGTAGGGTAGGGTAGGGTAGGGTAGGGTAGGGTAAGGGTAGGGTAGGGTAGGGTAGGGTAGGAGTAGGGTAGGGTAGGGTAGGGTAGGAGTAGGATAGGGGTAGGATAGGGTAGGGTAGGGTAGGGTAGGGTAGTGTAAGGGTAGGGTAGGGTAGGGTAGGGTAGGGTAGGGTAGTGTAAGGGTAGGGTAGGGTAGGGTAGGGTAGGGTAGGGTAGGGTAGGGTAGGGTAGTGTAGGAGTAGGGTAGGGTAAGGGTAGGGTAGGGTAGGGTGGGGTAGGGTAGGGTAGGGTAGGGTAGGTAGGTTAGGGTAGGGTAGGGTAGGGTAGGTAGGGTAGTGGTAAGGTAGGGTAGGGTAGGGTAGTGTAGGGGTAGGGTAGGGTAGTGTATGGTAGGGTAGGGTAGGGTAGGGTAGTGTAGGGGTAGGGTAGGGTAGGGTAGGGTAGGGTTGCGTTCAGTAACATCCTAAGGGGTACAGTTAAGGGTACAGTTAGGGTAGGGTAGGGTAGGGTAGGGTAGGGTAGGGTAAGGGTAGGGTAGTGTAAGGGTAGGGTATGGTAGGGTAGGGTAGGGTAGGGTAGGGTAGGGTAGGGTAGGGTAGGGTAGGGTAGGGTAGGGTAAGGGTAGGGTAGGGTAGGGTAGGGTAGGAGTAGGGTAGGGTAGGGTAGGGTAGGAGTAGGATAGGGGTAGGTAGGGTAGGGTAGGGTAGGGTAGGGTAGGGTAGGGTAGTGTAAGGGTAGGGTAGGGTAGGGTAGGGTAGGGTAGGGTAGGGTAGGGTAGTGTAAGGGTAGGGTAGGGTAGGGTAGGGTAGGGTAGGGTAGGGTAGTGTAGGAGTAGGGTAGGGTAAGGGTTAGGGTTAGGGTAGGGTGGGGTAGGGTAGGGTAGGGTAGGGTAGGTAGGGTAGGGTAGGGTAGGGTAGGGTAGGTAGGGTAGTGGTAAGGTAGGGTAGGGTAGGTAGGGTAGTGTAGGGTAGGGTAGGGTAGTGTATGGTAGGGTAGGGTAGGGTAGGGTAGTGTAGGGGTAGGGTAGGGTAGGGTAGGGTAGGGTTGCGTTCAGTAACATCCTAACTTACAAAGGGCTCGAACAACTC